AGACCTATTTTACATGCCATAATTACTATGAAATGCCCTGAATCATTTCAGGGGAAGTGATCTTCCATGTATTTCTATCAATACCATTTCATTTAATTTCTCAAACACAGAAGAATATAAATTCTGTCCTACCACCCCCAAAGCATTCAGTGCAGGAAATATTACTATTTTACCTGCTTCAACTACAATATCTGAAGCTATTTTTTGTGTGTGTTCAATTTGAAGTAGAAGATATGCCACAGGTCCTGTGTCCTGGATTCATAAAGCCTGATATAAATACATATAAAAAGTGCAAGTGGTTTATTTCAGCAGAAGTCTATGCAGAGATCAGAAATTCACCAGGAAATAGGGCTTTTTAACTCCCAAATTTTGGTTAGATTTTAATACAATGTAAGCTTTAGGAGAGCAGGAAACTTAACTAGATAGATCTATAATGATACCCTTGGTACTTTGAACCATGCCTGGCACATAGTGGGTTTCCAGGGCACATTTCCTGAATTAATTACAATTTTAATATTTCACCCACCTGAAATATTGTTATGCAGTTTTATTTAAACCAGTTGTCAGCATGGAATGACTTCTGCATTCTCTCCTGGAAGTGGGTGAATTTCCATGGTGAGCAATTCCTCTATATACAGTTTGCAAATCATTTTGGGAACCTTCCAAATGAAAGGCACTGTATAAATATACCCTCCCACCAGCAGCCAGCCGGCTTTCCACCAGGGATGCATTTGCATCGCTTATGTACATAGTGTTTCATTTGGGGCATTGTTTTTATTTTTATGACCATAAAAGAAATATTCACAATATGAACAATAATGTAAACTGCATTCAAGAAGATATATATTTGTATATTTTTATGATTCAAAACTTAGAAATCTCAAAGAAAAGCAGGCATGGCATTTTTCTCTCCTGTTGCTGTTTGCTTTTTCATAGCATTCTTTATTATTCCTGAACTTTATGGTGGAATTTTGCTGAAATGCTCGTCTTTGTCTGTACCTCATTTGAGAATATGTGGTTGTGGGTTCAAATGAATATTGCTAGCAAAAGGCCTGAAAATGAAGGGTATTTGATTTTGCATTTATTCAAGCCTATAATAATAGTTTGCTTTTTTGTGGATGGAAGCTTCTTTAAGGAGAGAAAGAGAAAAGGAAGCAACCTCAGGTATAAAATACCTTCTAAGTAACTTAGCATGATAATGGGAACTTTCAGAGATGGAAAAGACTTTGAAGAGAAGTATTTTAGCCTTCATAACAAAAGGGGGGCTGATTTTATAGAGCATTGTGGGGAGCTAGATTTCAAATTCATATCATGGAAAATGCTTAATGAACTTTTGAAATAAACTGCCAACAGAATTAAATCAAAACCTTAGTAAATTATGTATTTATCTACATAGAATCGTCTTCACACAAAAATGAACTGAATTATAAATTCTTAATTTATACATTTCCATAATTAAATTTAAACTGAATGAAATAACCCAATTCAGACATATTTCCTAACCTTCAGGATATTCTAGCATTAAGGATTTTATTAAAAAGAGAAGCTACTCTGAATATTCACAGTAATTTTATATAAAAAGTATCTAAAAAGGTAGATTAAATAAAACTCTTGCTCACTTCACTGAGCAATGACGTAAAATGTGAACAATTAAATTTCAACTACCAATAGTTAAAGACAGAATTAATAAGAATTTGAGTTCATTTTGGTGTTCATCATTCTCTTTCATAAATACCAGATTTGATATTTTCTCACGTTTTACTACTAAAGTAATGAAAGTGATTTTTGAAACCTTAGCTATAGAATAGTAATATTAGGAAATAGCTTACTCAGGTTATTTTGTGGTTTATAGAGTTATATTCTCCATCTCCCAAGTCAGAATATTTTTGTAGCTAACCTTTAATTTCATATTCCCAGTAATACCCACCTTGTTTCATTAAAATGAATCTGATGTACAATATCTTGACATTCTTCTTTACTACTAGAAAATAAAACAGCAGTTTCTTCAACTGAGAAAACCTAGAAGCATGGACTTGATCTGCAGCCAGTTTTTACTACAAACCCCATAATGCTTTGCATTATAGCCTACAATCCCCATACTGCAATGCCAAACCTACAGTTAACCATCATATTACTGGAAAAAAAAAAAAAAAACCAGAATATTTGAGAACTATGTAGCATGCAAGGATTCTACTTGAGTGGTAAATTATCAAATTGTTTCCAGTATCTTGTGATTTGCTTGCCTTTTCCTTTAGTAAAAAAGGCATATTTATGGATATGCACTCTATTTCCTCATCTTCAATATAATGTTGCATATTCTCAAATGATATATCAAAGTATATACTTTCCATGTCAAAGACTCTTTTTTTTAAAAATATCTATTATTGAGTTGTATAGTTTCTACCGTCCTTTGGAGGGAGGTCAGCTTTATTCAGATTTTAAAATAAAAATCACAATACATTGTTTAATGCTCTAAACATCTGCAAATGAGATTTCAGTGAAGTAATTAAAATTCTTAATTAGATGCACCTTGCAGCTGCCGTTAGTCTTAATTGGCAATAATGCAGCTACATTTTGTTTGGCACGTATCTTCAGAAGAGTTAGAGAGAGAACTGAAGGGAGGCAAGAGGAAAATGTTCCCACACAGTTCAAGATAGTTCGCACAAAGAGGATCCCATGGCAACAAACAGCGAGGCCCACAGTTGGCTCTGTAGGATCCAGGAATAGACAATGCTTCACCTCAGTTTCAAACAAACACTTCCTTCCCTGGATCTAAAATGAAAGCACTTTAAATCATCTCTTGAAATAAAATCGAAGTGGTCAAATGTTCACCTGTGTCCTCAAGATGCTTTTCAAAGCTTCTAGATGCTCTCTGTAGCCCATGTCAAGGTTATAATTATAACCCCTCTCTGGGTAGAGTAACAATCCGACTTGCAGAACATTTAAAAGAGAGGATGTGATTTTTGTACCATATGGAGCTGGACATCAGGTTGGCAACTTGTTAATTTCAACCTGTCATTTTATTAAACAAGGAAACTGAGGCCAAGAGAAATTAAAGTGAATTCCCATGGGTAATAATGGCTACTTAGGAGTAGAATTTAGACTCATATCTAGGATTTGAGCCTAGAGTCAGGACGTTCACTTTTAAATTTTGCTTGAACCAATTACACTTGTTAATTGTGCCCCCCCCAGTCTGCTTGAGGTCTAGTTATTCACATTTAAATGGGTCAACTAAAGAATTGGGATGGAAAGTATAGAAAATATAGATCACTCACAATGAGAGGAGGGGAATATATTTCCTCTGCACCTTTAATCTTCAGTTTACTCTGAATTATAGCATGTGGGGAAGGAGCAGGGGGAGAAAAACATTGGCACAGATGTGAACATGGGTGAGTTAGCTTCAAAGAAACCTTGTGAGACTTGCCTGCCAACTTTAACCACATTTTCCCTCTGCTTAGGTTGGAAATTTCAGTGTACTGCTCCTTCTTTCGAAATACAGATTTACCTCCCTGTCTAGTCTCCCTGCCTGCTTTCATTCTCACCTGCGCCCTTAGTTTAGTTTGCATTCGTTTAGCTGACATTTTACCTAATTTTCGAAGTGTTTTCTTTATCTTAACCTGTGTTTTACTCCCCAAATTAAAACAGTTCTGAAGGGCCAAGACTACTTTACCTAGTTATTGTTCTATTTTTGGTTTATCCTGTTAAGCCTGCCATTACAAAAGCTTGTGGAATACATTACAAAATGGGTTACGATTTTCAAGTACTCGGGCTCCAGGTGTTGAATGGGAAAGGTTGCAGGGTGGAGAGAGGGAAAGGAGTGACTAGAAAAGCGGCTCTCTGCCTTTTAATCATCCAGCCTACTCAGCTGCGAGAAACTAACACTGTGGCTGCAGCGTAAACATTAACATTTTTTTAAGGGTCTTGTTACTCCAAGTGTAGTCCGCAGCCCAGCAACATTGTTATGGGCCACGGGCCAGCTTATTAGTAACGCAGGGTCTCGGGCCTTACTCCAGATGTACCAAATCAGAATCTGCATTTTAACAAGACACCCAGGTGATGGTGTCTACATCAAAGTTTGAGAACCACGGAAGCACAAGTGACTGTGATTGCTATCCCAATGTAAATGGTTAAGGACCTTAAATTGAGCAAATAACCTAATGTATTTACCAGTACCTACTTTGATCCTCTTTCTTCATCACAAATCCATCTCAGAAACCCGCAGCGAACTCTTTTGTAGGGAACTCAATTACGCGGTGGTTGGGAGGAGGATCCTCTTCAAGACCCTCCTCTCCGTTCCTTTTCCTACCCACCCACCCACGCCTATCGCCCCCGCATTTCCAGAGAGCCTTCCACAAGCACCCTTCTCCCAAGCCCCACTCCGGGAAGATTCTGCTCCTCCCTGAAACTGAAAGCGCGGCTGTGAAGAGGGTAACTGCTTGAAGGACTCATAGTTTACATATCAATACAGACAAGCACTTTTGCCAAACTGCCCTTTAGAAACAATTATCATCTTAGCACCTGAGGTTGGAGCGGCCCCCGCATCCTTCCCTCTTGTAATCCATCTTAAAGTGTTACGGAGAATTGGGGAGGGCGGGGGGTTGGGGAGACAGAGATGGGGGTGGGAGGGTCGCGCGCAATAATAAATCTGCTTCAAAGAGAAGAGATGAAAAGGAGGTTATCAAGTGTGTCAGCTTAGGCATCACTCTGTATCACTCTCTGTATCTTTCTGCTTCCTAGAGAAATGGAACCATAATTCTAAGGTGGCTAACGCAAGACTGTTTAAGCATCCAAATTTGCCAGTCCACTTTTGCCTGGAAGGACAGATTTCCGTTATTTGAGGCCTCCCAGGGTCCCTTCCAAAAGATTCCCAGGCTACCCTCCTTCCACTTCGGTCTTCTGAGAACTAAAACTCGCAAAGCGGTGACTGTCTGTGGATTGGCTAGTACTAAAATATCCATTGGGTGGCAGTAATACTATCCTCTTTATGACTTGCAGCAAACCAGAGAATGCATTCAATCAAATGAACCGATCTTGTAGAAACACTGGAATCATTTATGCATTGCAGTTTCTCTTTCTTGTTTTCGCTCCGTCTTCCTTGGGATATTTTGAGTGGATTGTGGCTATTAATCAAGATCTCGTGCTATTCGTGTTTTGCTTGTGGTTTTCGCTCAGGATTAGCATCATTCAAGGCAAGCGCAAATCTGCTTTTCCCACCCCCCCCCCAACTCTTTTTTGAAAAATCATTTTTGGGGGCTGATGAAGAGAGCTAGGACCCAGGAGACACCTTCCCAAACAGCAGGGGTTGTGTGCTTTCACATAGCAGTACTGTACAAGGAAAACCCCGTCGGATCTGTTATTGCGGGATACTTGTGAAATATACATAGGATTCTTTCTTATGGCTGCATCCCGGATCTGGAAATTTTACTTGGGGACCAGGAGGATCTGAAAGGCTACATGTATTCAGAAGATTTGCAAGCAAGACTCCAATTCTTGTCTTAGAGCTCACAGACTTCTCACTTACCGGCCCTTTTCCTTCCTTATTTTTTAAAAATTGTTTTTATTTTCCCCTCTCTTTTTCTGCTCTCTCCTCTCTCAGTCTCTCCTTTTCTATCTGCCTCTTCTTTTTTCTCCTAGTCTGTTTTTTTCTTTTCCTGCTCTGCACCTGGATTGTATCTTCAGCAAACAATCGGGCACTTTGAGAACTAACTGGAGACAGTGTTGTAGGGAAGATCTGTATGGAATTATCTGCTTTTATGGTGAACTTGGCATTTGTGAATGGGTATCTTGTTCACAATATTAATTGCTAGCAAAAACAAGAAAAAGAACACAGGAGTAAAACGTGGATTTTTCTGAATACGCATTGTGATGACCAGCAATTACCTTACCGACTGATATCCAGAGGAGAATAATTTGGAAGACTGTTGTGGGTAAGGTCATTTTATATATGCAAACCCGTCAGTGGCATGAGCAAACTTGGACATTTGTAATGGGAATGGGGTGACTTGAATGATTGCTGCATCGTATTGATGGCTGTGATGTGGTCGTTATTGGCACTGAATGGAATAACTGCAGTTGGGTGTGTTGTGTGTGTGTGTGTGTGTGTGTGCCTGTGCGTGTGTATTATGTATGTGTGCCCGTATTCTGAATGTAATTGAAAATAAATCAAAGTATCACTCTCTCCCTCAATTATTTTGATATGGAAGAGTATCTTGAATTAATTCTGGGTAGACGCTCTTTGTTTGGATGTAATATTTGTGGCCCCTGCGTTCTGGAAGGGGTAGCAGCAGTAAAAGAAACACTTAGTGAAGAGCCCCATTTAAAATGAAACGAGCTACTCTTTATGCATTAAAAGAAATATGTTTTCAACTCAGTGCAGCATTCTGCTGCATTTCACAGCCGCAATGGGACCAGGGACATCCCACTTGTCAAGTTCTTAAACTTTAAGGTGATAATCATTGTTAATTGTTCTCTAGGTTGTGGTTACTGGAGATTATTAAGTGCCCTGGGCTACTTTTTTATCTACTGGATTATCACTCAGAGTGAAAAAAGGAAAAGACAAGAAAAGCTAAAAATGATGGCAAACATAGAGAAGAATAAGGCAATATTAGATTAAATATCACCACAGTGCTTTCTTTCTCAAGTTCAATTGCCCAATACTATAATTATTTACCCAATACCCTAAATAGCTGAAACTGAGATCCACGTGCAGGGGAGTCGAAGGTCTGAAAGCAGAGACCGTCCTTTTATTGCAATGCAGTCAGCTTGGGAAATGCAGGCAATTAATTACATACTTCCCTTAACCTTAAGTTGAAGATGTGTCCTATCTGCTATATCTGTTTTACCCTTTCGGTAAAAAGTTAGAGACTAGAACACTAAGGATATTTAAGCATATTCTGCCTGGGAAATGGGATTAAAAAATCAATATCGATGACGTGGTTCAGTGCACTGTACTGCAATGCTAAAGTCCCATATTCAGTGCCTGTGATGAGAGAATGGAACATTTACATGTGTTATAAATCTCACCTGGTAGACTGATCTGAAGGGGAGGGGAGAAGATATGTGGATATGTAGGAAGATGGATGGAAGTCGTGCATAATCGGTGATTATGTAACTTCATTACATCAGCGAGCTTCAGTCAACGATAGTGAGGTGAGATGATTGTATGGAGAGAGGCTCCATCACCCTGTTAACTTTTGAAGGCTTGTAACAGCTAATAGAGGAGGAGGGCAGAGAGAGATTAGCTCCAAGGGTCCTGTAAACCTTGATCTCTATGGCAAATTTAACATGAGTTTTCTCATAGTGAGTTTCAGAGGGACATCAGATCATGTAAGCTTTAGGGCTGGACAGGACCAATTTTAGCCACACCCGTGGAGAGTCAAAATGAGTCCGCAATGTTTCAGAAGTGCCCCATTGAGTAACTGGGACTGATGATTCCAGCCAAGGTCATAGTTCTTTATCCTAGGATTGAAATATATGACCCCAACTGAATGGAAAGTTAAATTCATTGAAATGAAGACTGTGAACTGAATGACTATTTAGGGTCCTTTCTTGCATTTTTCCTGGTAGAGCTTGATGCAGATTTCAGCCTGGTGGTTCCCTCATAAAAATGATGACTGCTACCACAGTGTGTCAGAAATGAGTGTTTTGTACCTTTATCTTAACCATGACAATCTCTTTCTGGGCCATTTTAACCTTCTGGGAAAAGAGAAGTAAAAACATTCAAAGGTACCAGTATCCTGTTAAATTACAAATTAAATGGCACTGGATTCATTATTAACAGAAATCCCAGAAATAAAGAGCATCCATTTTCAAGTTTCACTTATTGAATGGCTTAAAAGACAGGTTGCAGCCGCCAGAGACTTTTGCCATGAGATGAGATAAATGTACTATGCTCACTGTACAGAGGAGGGAATACTGCAGAAGAAAATGTCTTTTTCCCTCATGTTTTATCTGGAGTTGTGATTTTTTTTAAAGAAGATACACATCAGGTCCTTTGGCCTTCTGCTGTTTTAGGATCTGTTTTCTCTTCAGTAGATCACGTATTCACAATAAATGAAACTTCTGAAATCCTAACCCTGTTCAATTGAATCATCTTATTATCTAGTTGTGCTATTTCCTATTTCCCTTTACATTTATTTTACAAAGAAGGCTAAATGACTTTTCTATCAGGGAAATTGTTTTTTTTTTTTTCTGTTTTTCTTTTATTTCTCCTATTCCATTTCCTTCCAGTCCTATGGAGTAAGATGCAGAATCTAGACACCCTCTAAGTAACTTTGAAAAGATTTGCTTACCCTGAGTCAGAACGGTGGGATTGTGGAATGATATTCTAAGGTCTGATATTTGAGGTGACTTTCATACTTCTGCAGGACATGCATAAACATTGATATATTGTGCCAGTGGATTTGGAGGTTTGACGTTCATATTGTGTAGGAAATGGAATGTGAAGTTAACTCCTGATTCCTTCCTTCAGGGGTCAGGGTAACACTACGGCTGCTTCCAGCCTGTTGGTTTCCAACTATGTGCACAAATACCGTCTGTAATGATTTTTCCTGTATTCCTTTCAATATTTAATAAATGACTTCCTCAGTTGTTTTCTGACGTAAGCCACACATATGTTACCAAGCAGGGCATATTCTGGAGGTTTTCTAAGCTCAGTAGGAGATGGAAATAATAGCAGGATGGAAAAGGATTCTGTATAAAAAGACACTGGTTGTGAAGCAAATATACATATGTAATTGCTAACTCCTTTACTTGAAGACTGCATGTACTTCTGTTAGGAAAGATAGTTTCAATCATGTTAATGGCACTTTATAAAATGTTACTTTCCTTAGAAAGAAGATTATGTAACTAAGGCAGGTTATGGCATTTTTCTTAAGTATCCTATAAATCAATAATAAAAAGCCTTGCCTAATAGGAAAGAATTTAAACATGATGGCAGTGGGTAATGTAAAACATAACATCTGTTTTCAATTTTATTTCCATTCTTTCAGCCACAGTCATGTAATTAGGTTAGAAAATATTTGGGAAAAAAAGAAATACTATTTATGAATATGAAAGCTATCAGTTTTGTTTCCTGACCAGTTGCTTCAGCAAAGTAAGGAGATTTAGGAGAGAAGTAATCACAGTATTCCTAAAACTGGAGAAAATTCTAAATTGAATTTTCATTATGTTTGCAACGTATGTGAACAAATCAGTATTACCTTAAAAATGACTACGAGATAAAGCATTTTAAAGAATAGTTGAACTTTGAAGATTTATATTTCAGAATTTGTTAGTTTGTGATACACTGAAATGTTTGGGATATACTTTGTCTTACAACAGATATGATATTTGGTGATTGGCAAATCTTGTGTTTTTATAAAGCAGACTAATTTGTGGCAACAAGACAAGTGTTGATTATCAAGATTTAAAAGTAGCAAGTTTTCTGGTGATGCTCAAATTATAAAGCATAATTATTATTGTACCGGTTGGGCAGCTGTAGGTATGGTCACGTCAGCATTTTTATTATTAAATTTCAACCCTATTTTCATTAGGTGTATCTGGAATCTCAAAGAGGAGAGTCCAGTTTTCTGACACATCAAGGCATTACAGAATTCTGGGCTGAGTCAGAGGGCTTCAATTGTACTTCCGGCTCTGTCAATTACTAGCCTTGTGACCCCTGACACCACATTTGATTTCTCAGTGTTCCAGAGAATCATTTTTTAACAAAAAAATAGTGGCACATTGCTCTACAGAAAGGAGATAATATGTGTGTAAGTACCTACCATCATTCTATGCTTTATAAATAAATATATAGAATTATTATTATTAGGCATTCCCCTAAGTCTTATTAATTTAGCTGTGCATGTTTTTATGCCCTTATTGTAAATCTGAATAGGTGCTTTCTAGTAGCAGTTACAGTTAGCTGTACGTAATATTGTTCAGTGATTAACCAACACAGACAAATTAAAAGCTTTGGTGGTTAACTTTCACTCAGTACTCAGTTTTTTCCAGAAGTACTCATATGGGAATATAGTTGTCTTAAGTAATTAAAAAAAATAGTTGCTTTTGAATAACATTCAAACAGTGGTAACTAAGGGTTTTATGAGTTAGAGTGTTTTATGCAGATTGCTTTTTAAAAAAGGCTTCTGAGTACTTAGGAGTTTCTGTTTCTGCTACCAAGAGTACACAAACAAATGTACACAAACTTGATGCTATCTCTCAAACTGCATACATTGACCAGAAAGTGACTCTTGTCTCTCAGTTTCTTAACAAAAGCATAATGAGTTTGAATACCAAGTGTAATAAGGAAAATGAGAATATAAAGATATCCGGTCTGTTTGGAATTTTCTAGTTGTAATAATTACTAACTTTCTTTAGGGGGAGGCAATCCCCTATGTGTCACTACTAAAACTGCGTCTCTTTCATGTTCTTGTATCTTAACATAATGATATTTACATATATGCAAAGAGAATAGTTTAGTGATATGAGCTCTCATGTATGTTTTTCAGTGACTGAATAATCAGATTACAGAATAAGTTTTTATATTTTGGTTAAAGTAGAATTAGAAAGTGCAAAATTAACCCTCTAATAAATTAGTAGTCCTGGGCTTAAAACAAAGAATTTTCATGTTGTAGAGCAACCTCCTCTTCCTAACTTCCCAGTGCCTTGCTTTTCTTTTCAAGGATTCCCAATATTTTTTGTTGTTGTTTCAAATGAATTTCATTATGCATGTTTATCTGACTTCGTTGATGCCTATTAATAGCAAGCATTCTGTTGGTTTCCTATATTTAAAAAATGCATATTCTTCATGTCTTATGACAATATTTTAGATTTGCTCTGGCAGATGTATAAAGGAATATTGTATGAATGTAGATAGGCTTGTTTATTTGACAAATTCAGCTAATCACCTTACAAATATGCTTTTAATTTTTACCCAGAAAAATGC